GAGTATTCCCGGGGGTTACAATGCTCTTCGGAGGATGTACACAGACATTCAAGAGCCCATGTTTAGTGCTGCACGTGAACAGGTCAGATACATTTATTGATTTAAAAAATATATTTATTTGAATTAGAAAATAATATAATTTTAATTAAAATAAATAAAAAGGTTTTCACCTAAAATATTATTGAATTGATCAAATTCAAAGTCAAGTCTCAACACTCATTTGAAATGACTTACAGTAAGAGTTAGGCAGGTTTCACACCGCAAGCTTAAGCGGCGCGTGAGCAGTGCTGAAGCGAGGGATTCGGCACAGATTCTATTTTTGCTGCACCGCTCACGCTCAATTAAAGTGACAGCACACTTATGACTGACAAAATAAATGTGATTTCACACAAAATGTGCTAAATATGCATAGAATTTAACAAGAATTGGACTGTCGCAAAACTAAATGAAGAATCAAAAATATGTATAGAAGATTTACCCATTTCAACTTTTTTTAATTTCAGTTTGGATTGAATTATGGTGTATTACTGAAAAAACAACAACATTAAAAACAGCATGTTCTGTATCAAAGTATGACTGAAACATCTGTTTTTGTTGTTTACTATGTGAATCCCCATGCTAACCAACTTTCAAGATTTTAAAACTTTCAAGTTTTAAAGTTTATAACTGACCAACATCTAAAAACAAATTTATAGTTGTCTTTGTAAAGTAATATTTAGCTTTGTAGCCGCTGCTGTGATGCTGTACAAACGCTTCCAGTGTGAATACTCTTGTGAGTCTGACGGTGTAGTTACTCTGACGTGAAGCTGACACAAAGCTCAAGCTTGCAGTGTGAAACAGGCGTTGTGTTGCATCATCTTATTTTGAACAGTTTGGAAATAACCCTTTCTCGGCATTGGGTGGAAATACTGATAACTCCGGAGTACAGCCATCCAGGACTGAAAACCGAGAGCCCCTGCCAAATCCCTGGGGTCCCCCTGACACCGCCGCCACCACAACCACCACCACCACCTCTGGGACGGCTAGCACCACCAGCTCCACCACAAGCTCAACCACACCCAGTGTGTCCAACCCTCTGGGCATCAGCTCCTCTAGCCTTGGAAACGGTAATGGCCTTGTAAACATTTGGCTTTAGTTTTAAAACCATTATATATATTTTTTAGGATATGTTGT